AAAAATGATTCCATATAATCTGTTCCTCACTATCTGGTTGGGTTTTTCTTAATCAATACTTATTGGCTCCTGGGTGGCTAATCTCTTGTCTAGTTTGGAATGAGATTCCTCATCCCAGCCAACATCTCCATCAGAATTCCTCTGCTTGTCTTCCTCATGTTTCTTCTACTCAAGACTCTTTAATATAAATGCATTCTTCACCAGTGTTGAAAAGTAAGAAGAATAAGGGAGGCCAGGGTAACAGAATGAGTCCTCTTGTCCACCAGGGTAAGTGGGAGTTTATATTTTCTTAGATTCATTTTTTTCTCCCTAAAGCAGATCTGCCTAGTGACACGTCGCTTCATTTGCTTCTGATCTTGTTCCTAAAACAGGGCAGTGGAACGGATAGAGCCTGGCCCTTTTGCCCTCCATGACTGATTCTACTATAATCATGGCAATTGTGCATGGCTTTGCAAGGATACTCACAAAGGCTGCAGTGAATCCTGAGCTCTGCTTAAGTAATGCTATGAGCAAGTGTACCCAGAGGACTGGCACATCTCTAATAAGTGCAAAGACACTGTATGTTTGTGCAACCCCATGTTTGCCCGTTAATAGGTAATGTGCATGCACTTTCAGAGGAAAAAGTTCACCTTTTCTTTAAAATTTCTTGGAAGAAATCTGTAGGGCAATTTTAAGAAGGCTATACTTTAGAGCTGTGTGTAGGAGGAACACGCACACATCATTACATTTAGCAGTATTCATTCATCACTCCTACTCTGTATTTCCAACTCTTCTCCAAGACAGCAATGATTTTCAGTCACTTAAAATACTTACATTTTATACTATGCTTACTATAACTGACTAACATGTAATCAACTCTCAGGAAAAATATCTAAAGGTAGATAAATTCAATGTTAACCCTGCATTTTTACAAATCTATATATGTATCATGGCTAAAGACCATTTATCAGCAAATGTCCACAATGGTAAATAACAATTATGCAATTGAAGAACTGTGCTTTCATTCATGCTTCTGTATTTCAAATTCTTTGCTTAATGTTAATTTCAGTTCCATAGTAAGAGAAAGCAGCTGTTCACATCTCCCCAGTATACTACAATACCATTGTTTTGCTATCATCTATGTCTCACTCTCAGAGGGAAAATGGATTTACTGTAAAGTCATGTTGATGCATGAGAAGCCAAACTTCCTTGGATGTTGTTTAGGAAAGACTTATCATTTTCCATTCTGCAGCACAGTGATCACACAGAGGACACAGCACAACTCCAAGTCCTCATGGACCAAGGGTTGGAAAGCATAGCTTCCAGGTAGAAGAAACTATCAAAATGGTCACTCTCTAAAATCTCCAAATACTTCTGTGCCTCCTTCAACAAAGCAAAGCAAACATGACTCAATTTTTCCTTAATGACATTGGACACTTAAAAGAGACAACAGATTTGAAATTAGGAAGACTGAGTTTTACTAACTGGATGAAAATGCACAGGGAATGCCTTTGATTTATGGGTGAGCAGCACAATTCACAATAGCTAGACTGTGGAACCAACCTAGATGCCCTTCAATAGATGAGTGGATAAAAAAATGTGGCATTTATACACAATGGAATATTACTCAGTACTAAAAAAATAACAAAATCATGGCATTTGCAGGGAAATGGATGGTATTAGAGCAGATTATGCTAAGTGAAGTTAGCCAATCCCTAAAAAGCAAATGCCGAATGTCTTCTTTGATATAAGGGGGGCGACTCAAAACAGAGTAGGGAGGAAGAGCATGAGAAGAAGATTACCACTAAACAGGGACCAGAGTTGGGGGGAATGGGAGGGAGAAGGGGAATTGCACGGAAGATGGAAGGAGACCCTCATTGTTATACAAAATTACATATATGATGGTGTGAGGGGGAAGAGAAAAAAGAGAGAGAAATGTGTCACAGTAGATTGGGTAGAGAGAGGTGATGGGAAGGGAGGGGAGGGGAGGGGGGGAGGGTTAGGAAGGGCAGCAGAATACAACAGACATTAGTATTGCTGTATGTATAAACATGGCTGTATAACCAATGTTATCCTGCAATCTGTACACGTGGAAAAATAAGAATTCATACCCCATTTTAATCAAATGTATGATATGTCAAGATCATTGTATTGTCTTGAGCAACTAATAAAAAAATGGGTTAAAAAATACACAGGGAGAATGATCTTAATCAATTCACTGTACCTCCCTAGGTGTCGGGAGCGGTGAATGGATTATGGTCCTTGAACTGCCTGGAGATAGAGGTGATATCTCTCTTGAGAATTTCTCAGTGCAAAGACACTGATTGAAGATTGCCCAGTTGCTATGGTTACACTCTGTTCAAAAGGGGGTTCTGTGCCAGACACAGAATTTATCAGTTCTTAACCTCAGGTTCAAATGTCCTGCCGGGGAGTAGAGTTATGTGAATAGCTGATAATTATATCTGGGTTGCAAAAAAGTTTATCCTTCACTCTGAGGGCTTTGAAGAAACTTTCTCACAATAAATCCTTTTGATGTTTAAACCTATATAATAAATGTGCTGAGCTTGCTCATGGTCAGTCTTCCTTCATCACAGGTAGCTGAACCACCAAGTCCCAGCCTTTTTTCTATTTGTGTGTTTGTCTTTTCTCCATCTCCTCATCCATGGCTCCAGTTAGTCCTGAATAAACTGTCATGAACCTGAGCTTTTTTTGTCTTTCAAATGGGATCATCACATTCCTCAGGACTGTTTCAAAAATTAAGCTGAGTAGCACCCACAAAGTACGTTGTGCTCTGGCTGTTTCAGAAAGTGTCCCATGAGATGTCAGCCCTCCTCCTGCCCTGTCTGGACACAAGCTGAATAGCTGGGTACTGTGGTGTGCTGTAGGCTTGGCACCACTCAGTGAATATACTCAGAAATGGGACTCTGGTCTCTGGAAAGAATAAAGGCACCTTTGGTTTTGGCACTAGGTCTTGCTTTTCTTTTTTCTTTTTTTTTTCTCCTAAAGGCACAATACTTGTCACCCATGTATTTTCTTCCTATTTGGCTTTCCATTCCATTCAAAGTGAAATTTGAGTGTATAAGGCAAAAGACTTCTGGGGAATGGGATATGGCTGCCCTTCAAACTTCTCTCCTTTTCCTAAATAAATTTCTTGCCCTTTAGAAAATCGGTTCCCTTTCTGCTATCTTCAGTTCACATTTATGGCACAGGCTCTGTATGTGTATACACATATAAGTACATATACACATATGCTTTCCCTTCTGAAGGAAACCACAAAGCAATCAAGGCAAACAATAAGGCAGTAAATCTATCTGCATGTGTATTTTAACATAACCATACTCACCTCCACAATCATGACACAGAGTAACTTCACCTTCCAAAAGTTCACTCATGCCACCCTTCATAGTTAAACTCCACTCTAATCTCTACCCCTCTTCTCTGACTAGTATGCTTTATTTCCCACATTTTTTGTGCACTTATACTTACTAATAATTTAAACTTACTTTACAATCTATAATCTCTAAGCTTAAACCATTTAGTTGTTAATGCAGCTAAGCAAGGAAGCTACTTAGTTGAATGGTTTTATCAAAAACCAATATTTCTATTTCATTTTCACTGCCTACCAGTGGAGTATGAGCTATGAGTCATTAAGCTTAGTTGAGACACAGGCAGACGCAGGTCTAACTGCAATTCAGGTGTTAAAAAAGAAATATACACAATAAATGATGTAAGACCTGACATATTTCTTTATATCTGTAAACCAAAAAGCATAAATACATTATTTACTCACCACTAGAAAAATGTCTGGCAACTCTATGAAAAATGACTGCCTTCCTTAATTTCTTAAAGCATGATTTTGGCTGGCTGACTCTGAATTAGTGATCTATCCCCCTTCTCTTCCTCTTTGTATATCCTACTTGATACTTGATTTCTTTTTTACCTTCTATTATTTTTATTCCACATGCCACAGTTGCTTAAATTTTTCTATAACACGTATCTTGAGTTTTATGAACTCCAGAAAGGCATCTGGACAGTATCATACATATTAATAAGTCTCTTTAGAAAATTCAGAGGAAAGGTGAACTCTCACACATATTAAGACCCAAATAGCAACTTCTCTCTGAAATTTTTCTGATGTCCCAGGTGACCATGTACTCCTTCCCCCCACTGTGTTTTGCGTTCTGCTTCTACCATAACTCCCAACTCAGGGAGGAGGTACAATTATGTATATGCCTGTCTCTCCCCTACAGGATATGAGCCTGTCAAAAGAAGAGGTCCCTTTTTTAGCACTAGAAGACATTGAACCCAAGTTGGATGAAAAGAAAGTAAACCATAACAGTTTATAACGTAAGATAAGCATGGAACCTGTACCTGGATTGATTTATTTAACTAGTCCTGAAGTGTAAATGGATGTCCCTGCAATCCTCTGGAGATCCCTGAAAATCCTATAACTATTTTAGTGATGAACAAATTAGGATTTGTAACTATCATGTTCTAACCAAAATGCCTTAGACCTTGACTCTGAGAGTAGAGGAGGGGATACCAAGATGCTGGACACAGCATCTGAGACTTTAAAATAGTTTTGTTTTGTTTTTTCTTTTGCAGTGCTGGGGATCAAACACAGGGCCTGGTGCATGGCAGGCTAACATTCTACCACTGACCCCAGCACTATTTTCTTCTTGTTAAGACAATACAGACACGATTAAGTCACTGAGCTTGAATGCTAATCCACACTACAAAGCATATTCTTTTCTTTATGATAGTCCTTTAGGATAGTTTAAAAATTATTAACAGCGAGCATGGAGTAAAGTTAAAATATATTTTCCTTGTTTCGTATTAAAACTCAAATTACTCTACTTACCTTTCCATCACTTCATTTACAAAATTAAGCAGATAATGAGACATTTTAATATCAAAATGAGTAACAAGAAATATAACTAAATCTCATACCTCCAGGATAATCTCCTCTGGTTAGGTGGAGTTAAAATGTAAAGCCTCTTGGGTCACATTTGGTGCCATACCTGTCCTGTGTATGCAAACTCCAGAGCCTGTTTCAAACCAAGGCTGGTCACACCGTGTAAATTCACCTCGTCAGCTCCACTTTCCACCATGCAAAGACTGAACATTGCCTGAGGTGAGAAAGAAAGAGAGAACAATTCTGGTACATAAAAAGCAAGGAGACAAGACAATGTCTTCAAGAAACTAGAAAAATGTTTTGCAAGTTAAAGATAGGTTCTGATTTCAGACTGATTTCTATACAGCTTCATTCATACAAGCTACTGCAAATCATTATGATATCTAAGAGTTACGGTAACAACACACATGGTACTGCATTCCTCACATGCACCCTCTCATCAGAGGTAACTCTATTTAAGTTCACTGAACTCATTCTCTCCACCCTAGGATCTGCAGCTACCAACCAATGTGCAGTAATCCTGAACATTCAGGCCAACTGGACATGAAAAGTCACACTTTCATCTCCTGTCTTTTGCATTTATGATCTGACAATCCCACTTATGGTATATATCATATGTATCATTTAGCCTTATCCATTTTTTCTCTTTTTGCAGTTTCAGTTACCAAGGATTAACCATATTGGATAATATTAAATGGAAAATTCCAGAAATAAATAATTCATATGTTTAAATTTTTGTGCCATTCTGAATAGCATAACAAAATCTTGTACCATTCTACTCTATCCCACACAGGACACAAATCATTCCTTTGTCCAGTATCTACATGCTACATATACTATGCATGCATTAGTCTCTTAGGAACCATTTCAGTTATTAGATTGACTGGCAGGGTATTACAGTACTTGTGTTCAAGCAGCCCTTCTGTATTAACCTACCACTATATCACAATGCCTATGACACTCACTTTACTCTATCTCACTCCATAGGCATTTTGTCATCTTACATCATCACAAATGATCAGTGCACAGTAAGATATGCTGAGAGAGAGAACACATTCACATTACTTTTATTATGATATATTGCTATATTTGTTCTATTTTATTATTATTTATTGTTTTTTATTTTTTATTGTGCCTAATTTATAAATTAAACTTTATTATCATTATATATAAACAGTAAAAAATAGAGTACATGTAGAATTTGGTACTACCTGTGGACTCGGGTATCTAGTCTTGGAATATATTACCCATAGATCAGATGGAACTAATTTATACACAAATGAAATGAAATCAGTATCCTAAACACATATCTGTATACCCAAGTCCATTGCAGCATTATTCATAATAGCTAAGGTGTGGAAACAACCTAAGTATTCATCAGACAAGTGATTAAAGAGAATGTGGATAAAGAGAATACATACATGCTCATATGCACATAAAGAGAAATTAAAAAAGAAGGAAATCACGCCATTTGCAACAACATGGATGAACCTCGAGGATATTATATTAGGTAAAATAAGCCAGACACAGAAAGACAAGTACACATATATGGAATCTATAATAGTCAAACTCAGGTGCAGAGGGCAGAATAGGGCTTACCATAGGCTAGGAGGAAGAGGAAATGGGGAATGTCACTCAAAAGGAGTAAAGTGCCTGTTAATGCAAGATGAATAAGTTCTGGAGATCTAATGTACAGCAATGTCTCTATAGTTAACAATACTGTACTATATACTTAAAATTTGCTAAAAGTATACATTTTTCCACTACAAAAGAGAAGGAGAGAGGGAGAAAGAAAATTGTAATTATATGAGGTGATGATTATGTTATTTAGCTTAATGTGATTATTTCACAATGTATACATATATGAAAACCCCGAGTTGCAAACTTGAGATATACGTGATATATATACATAAACACACACACACAATTTTTATTTGTTGATTATATGTGAATAAAGCTGAAAAAAATCTTGGATTTGAAGTCACAGAATCCTCAATTTGTGGTGGGTACAATAGCAGTATAGTGCCTGATATGTCAAGTTCTTAGTTAATATATGTGTTTAGTAACATTGAAATGAAATGAAGTTTCTTTTATGTATTCCCTAGTTTAAGTAATTGATACATTAGGAAAATATTAGAAATCAAGTGTGGTTATAGGTAAAAAATGCTAATAAGAAATTGTCTTTAGAGTTTAAGAGATTCTGCTTTTGCATTTCTAGAAGAAATTCCAAAATGAACAAGCACAGATCACAACTTAAGAAAAATCTTCCGAATTGTTTAATTCTGAATTTGCTTCTAGACTTTTTATAACCATTTCAAAGGAAATTTCAGTCATTTTCAATGTCTGCTTTTTATTATATGCGTGGCTAAGTTTTCAGTATTCACCACACTAATTTACTTTTTTTCAGATCTTCAAATTTGTAATTGCACTGGATGCAGAGGCCAGCTGCTCTCCATCCATCCATATGCAGAGCTGGACAGAAATGGCTCAGACTGCCCAAGAATTACCAGAGTTAATGAAATGGAAAAAATCTCTGAGATCAAAGGTTAAAAAATGGAACAGATTACCAAGTGAGTTTTTAGGATTTCCTAGTATCTTTCAAAAGTAATCAGAGCAATACTGGCATAGAATATTGATCTTCAGAGGCTTGTGATATTGATGTAACCAGAGAAATACCGGCAAAGATTACTGATGATCAGAGGTATGTGAACTATGGAACTTGAAGCCTGGATTAGTAGAGTTGAACAGAAGACTCAATTCCTTAAATAAGGTACAAGTATATTTGCACATGTTTATATAAGCAAGTGGGTAATTGTGTTCTATCAATACAATCAAACAATTTTTTCTATAATTGTTGTATTATAGGGTATGATTGTGGGCAGGCAAAGAGACTATTATTTTATCCTATTTACATAAATTATTATTTGGATCATTGCAATGAACATACATTATTTGTGTATTTCAAAACAACTGCCTTTTAAAAACTTTTTTCATTTTTAATATTCAGAACTATGTAAGAAGACACATCTGATTCAGATCCTGGTTTTAAAGTCTATTTGTCACTGTGGACAATTTACCTTGAACACGTGACCTCTGGCTGATTTGTTAATTTCTCTGAACCTTGGCTCTCTTATTTGTGAAATGGGGAGAATTACTAACTTCACAAGTTTGTCTTAAGGTTTAGATACATGTCTCCTTTGATCTATTTAAAATTAGAGCTGAGAAACAACACCCTCCATCCAAACACAACCCAAATCCATGTCTTTCAGATATTTTCCCAATGACAGTCCCACTCAAAACTCCTATCCATCGCTGCAGGAATTTACTTTTGCTGCATACTTCCTTTTGATGCATACTCAGCCCAACCCTCACCTTTTATGATTGTTATGACCACATTTGAACAAACTATTTACCTTCTTTATCACACACATGCAGAAGTAACCCAGTCTATCCAGTGGTATTAGACATTTATTTTTTGTCACTGTGACCATACCCTTAACCTTACGAAATTACTCTATCCCAAAAAATTGTCACCACCATTTCTATAAAAATAGAACTTCCATTTTAATATCACATTAGAAATTTAGTACTACAAATTTAAAGCTTATAATTTTTAAAAATTAGATAATTAGTTCATTTAGGGGTAAAATATATAATTATTAAATCAAGGTCAAAGTCTTGGGTTGAATACATGTACAAGGCACCTCAATTAGGAACACTTCGTTGGATAAAGAAGAACCTGGCCATTTGGCACAGTGAAACACCAAGTTGCCTAGGCTACCCAGGCTTGAGAAACAATGTCTAGAGGACTACTAGCGCCCATAGGGGAGGACAAGGACAAAGCCTCCTTTGATAGCAAAAGCAGCAATAACACCAATAGTGCTATATTTAAGCATCAAATTTCTTGAAAAGGTAAACTAATAGTTCCATGAAGGCAAATACTACATCTTATTTCCTTGCTGTTGTGTTCCAAACCTTAGCATCACATGCATGCAATAAATACAGGTGAGAGTGAATGAGCAAGCTAACATCCTCTTCAAAAACTCATCTACAGATGATGGCCTGCTGTTCTACAGTGTCATAAACAAAAATAATTAGTTCTATATAGAAAAGCATTTCTGCATGTAGCATATTTTAGATGTTGGAATATAAAAACCATAGTTAAATAGAGGATCTACCATAAGAAAATACTTCAGAAACAAGTGAGTTTAAGGCTTAGCCATTTAGGAAATGAAAAAAGAGAAGAAGAAGAAGAAGAACATATGGCCATGTCTTCTATCAAGCCACAACATTCTGCCAAAGCCTAGGATAAGGTTCTGCTTAGAAAAATGAAAGCTTAGCACAGACTCCTCTGGGTTCACACTGTTTTGTCTTTGGGGGAACCTTGGCCAGGCTGAGATTTACAGTCATCACAGCTTACTCTTGGCTGATAATGTGCTGCCACCACCACAAATCTTTCTCATTGAAAACCCAATTTGTGAGAATACAATCCACTTTAAATGCTGACCAGAGATTTATGATGTTATTTCTCCTTTATTTCACAAAGAAATGACATAAAAGGATTCCTAAAATCACAGAACATGAATTAAGTTTTCTTGGGTTATGCTAGTTGTCAGGTAGACACAAAATGAGCTAAAACCCCATTTAAATTGGTACATTAGGCCACAAAATTGACCAGTTGAGATTCTATTACCTCGTCAATGATAAGTAAAATGGCAGCTGAAAGGTATTTTAGGTACTCAAAGTTGCTGAAATGTTTTTTTACCTGGTAAGTTATATATAGCTTTGGTGTTAACACTATGTAGGCAAGATGTTCTGTGAATTCCATTTTATCAGGAATACAAATAAAATTACAGATAAATTACCTGGATTGTTTGGGGAGCATATTCCATTCTTATTGATTGATTGATTGATTGATGCTGGGGATAACCCAGGGTCTCATGCATGCTAGGCAAGAGCTCTACCATTGAGCTCAATCCTTATTTTTTATGATTGTTAGAGAGTTAAATGAAAATAAACAGACATACTTAAGGAAGTCATTGAAAAGGGCAATTTGCAATGACTTCAGCGGATCTATCCTTCCATGCTCAGTGTTATATAATTAGTGATGTTTACAATAGGCACCAAGGCATGACAGATTTGCACTAACTTCCAAATCAACAAACATTACGTTTAGCTCAATTTGGTGTTAATGGCGATTGTAGTTTATTGCAT